TTTTTCATCCACAGCATGTCTTTGCTTGCCTCAGTATCAGCAATGTACTCAGCCTCGGTTATCGATAGTGCAACAAACTTCTGAAGTCTTGATTGCCAAGAGACAGCTCCTCCAGCAAATCTCATCATGTATCCCGTCGTCGATTTCCTCGAGTCGGAATCTCCCCCTAAATTAGAATCTGAGTAGCCTTGCAATTCGGCTTTGCCTTCACCAAATCGGAGGCATAAATTGGTCGTTCCTCGGAGGTACTTGAAGATCCACTTCACTTCTTCCCAGTGCTCTTTGCCGGGATTTGACAGATACCGGCTTACCATTCCAACAACATATGCCAAGTCGGGTCTAGTGAAAACTATTGCGTACATCAAGCTTCCAACAGCGGATTGGTACGGGACCTTCATCATCTCATCTTTGTCTTCATCAGATCTCGGATATTGCTTCTGGTTCAGCTTTATGTGTCCGGCTAGGGGGGTGCTCATTGTTTTGGCTTAGTCCATGCCGAATCTCTTCAGTATCTTCTCAATATACTTCTCTTGACTCAGCCACAGTAGCTTCTTTTGTCTATCTCGGATGATCTTGATTCCGAGAATTTGCTTTGCAGGGCCGAGATCCTTCATTCCGAAGGATGAGCTCAACGCCTTCTTCAGGGCGGCTATCCTCGATTTGTCTTTCCCTGCAGTAAGCATGTCGTCAACATATAACAACAAAATCAGAAAAACTTCGGCCTCATACATCTTCACAAATACGCAGTGGTCGACTTCTGTCTTCTCAAACTTGTGATCAGTTATGAATGATTCAAACTTCTTATACCACTGCCGAGGTACTTGCTTCAAGCCATAGAAGCTCTTCTTCAATCGACATATCAAGTCTTCTTGGTCTGAAGCTCGGAACCCCTCAGGTTGCTCCATATATATCTCTTCTTCTAAATGACCGTGAAAAAATGTCGTCTTCACGTCCATTTGTTTTACCTCGAGGTTCATCGAAGCCGCTATAGCTAACACGGTTCGGACAGAGGTCATTTTCACCACAGGAGAAAAGATCTCCTCGAAGTCTACTCCTTTCTTCTGATTGCATCCTTTCACTATAATTCGGGCTTTGGATCTCAGCTTCTACCCGTTCTCTTCATTCTTTATCTTGCAGACCCATTTATTTTTCAGAGCTCGTCTTCCTTCAGGAAACTTGGTCAGCTCATAAGTCTTATTCTCGTGCAGAGACTTCATCTCGTCATGCATTGCCTTTTCCCATTCTTCTTTCTCTGAGCTCGTCACAGCCTCATCATAACTCTGAGGCTCACCGTCTTCAGCAACAACGGTGTATTCATCATATGGATATCTTATAGAGGGTCTTCTTTCTCGAGTTGGATATCTCGGCTGTTCTTCAGCTTTAGAACCCGGTTCATTATTCTCATCCCGTATTTCATCATCAACTCAGACCTCAGTGTCTTGTTCATCATCAGCTTGTTGCTGGTCATCAATCTTTTCATTTTCTTGATTTTCTCCCCCTGCTTCAGCTCGAACAGGAGAGATGGATTCTTCTCGTCTGACAGTAACCCGGACTTTAAGTTTCGAGATTTCATGAATAGACTCATCTTCGTGAAAGATTCTCACTATCTTCTTATTGATTGGATACCAAAGTCGGAACCCGAACTCACATCTCGGTGAACCAAGATAGATTCATTCTTTATTCTTCGCATCAAGTTTTACCCTTTCATCTTTTGGGACATGCACGAAAGCTCGCCATCCAAACACCTTCAGTTTATTATAGGCCTCTTTTCGAGCTGTCCAGACTTCTTCTGGAATTTCTCCTTCAAGTGGCCGTGATGGTGAGAGGTTGATTAAGTCAACAGCAGTTTTAACGACTTCTCCCCAGAATGATTTCGGCAATCCGGCATTGGACAACATACTTTGGACCTTCTTTTCAATAGTCTGGTTCATCCTCTCAGCAAGTCCATTCAACTGTGAAGTCTTGGGGGGCGTCTTCTTAAGTCGAATCCCGACCGCTCTGCAGTATGCATCAAAAGGGCCACAATACTCACCACCACTGTCAGATCGAACCACCTTCAATTTCTTGCCAGTCTCCCTTTCATCCATAGCATGAAATTCTTTAAAGGATTGGAGTACCCGGTCTTTAGATTTCAACAAATACACCCTCACTTTATGGGAGTGGTCATCAATAAAAGAAACAAAATATTGAGCTCCTCCAAGGGATCTTTCCGACATGTAGCAAACATCAGTATGGACGAGGTCAAGAATATTCCTGCGTCTTCTGGGTTGACCCGGTTTCACGAAAGAAACCCGATGCTGTTTTTCAGCTAGACAGTGTGTGCAACTCTCCAACGCTTGACCTTTCAACCCGGTCAGTAATCTTTTTTTTGTACAGGATCTGGAGCCCTTTCACGCTCATGTGGCCGAGGCGCTTGTGTCATAGCTCCAAGCTAGGTCCATCTCGGACAGAATTGGCTTCTCCGTCATTAGTCTTTCCTTGCATCACGTACAAGGAGCCTTCCTTCTTACCTCGGGCAATAACCAAGTTTCCCTTGGCCGGCTTCCATCTAACACTACCGAAGTAGTTCACAAACCCGACACCATCAACTTTACCTACCGAGATTAGGTTCAATCGCATGTCAGGAACATGCCTTACATCTTTCATTACAAGTCGGCACCCAACATCTGTAGTCAGGGTCACATCACCGACACCAACAATCTTGCTGGTCACTTGATTTCTCATCTTCACGACTCCCAAATCACCACCTTTGTAAGAGGAGGAAAAGCCTTTGTGTGGAGTAACGTGGAAGGAGGCACCAGAGTCAACAATTCAGGTGCAGTCATCATATGCAACATTCAAATAATTATCCTCAACAAGGAGGAATATCTCATCATTTGCTCTTGTCTTCCCTCTTCTTGGGAATGATTTGATCCGGCTTCATAGAGCTGTTCTTCTCATCATTCTACAGTGTCCAGCAGTCTGACTTCTTATGACCTGTTTTTCTACAGTAAAAGCACTTCAACTCATATCTCGGCTTTGACCGACCTCTGGACTTTTCTCGTCTGTCACGACCTCGACCCCGGCTCTTACTTATACCCCGGGAGTCAGCTTTCCCTCTGTTCTCGGCAACGTTGGCCTCAGACGTGCTCGAAACACCTCGTTCTCTTCTCCTGGCTTCTTCATTCAGGAAACTATCTGTTACAGCATCCATCTTCAATTTTCCTTCTGGAGCCGAATTACTCAAAGTCACCAACAGAGTATCCCAGCTTTCTGGCAGCGAGCTCAACAGCAGCAAAGCCTGCATCTCGTCATCAATTTTCATCTCATCCTTTGACAGCTGATTCACAATACCTTTGTAAGTGTTGAGGTGTTCTATCATGCTCATGTCGTCCTTGTATTTTCGCTTCACAAGTCGGCGAACCAGGTGTGCTTTTTTCCTGGGAGTCTTCTTTTGAATCATGAACTCCAGCTTCATCCACAACTCGTACGCATTCGTGAACTCGGACACGTGCTCAAAGAGGCTTTTGTCAATGTATTTTCTGATTGTAGCTACCGCCTTATGACTTTGGATCTCTCACTCCTTATCGGTTTTGCCTGCTGGTCTCTCATCAAGGATAATGGGCTCATGTAAATCTATGCAGTAGAGATGATCTTCCATCATCGATCTCCAATAGGTGAAATTGTCTGCGATCAAATTGAACATGTCTCCATCATGGGTTATGCCACTGGTCTCCATCTCGTCTCCCTCAGAACCCGTCGAACTCGGGCCCTGATACCACTGTTGGGAACTCGGTTCCCTCAACTCGGCTCAGGGGCCTTTCTTTGCGGAAGTCAATCAACAAGATCCTGGATATCGGATCTCGGCATCTTACCTTGGCGTGAACTTCACCAGGTCAGGCAGCGCAACGGAAAAACAAAAATCGCAAAAGGAGAGAGAGAGAGAGAGAAGGAGAACACAAGCAGTTTTAACGTGGGAAAACCTTCTTCAATGAAAAAATAAAAACCCACGGGACCTAGTCCATATCAAACGTCCACTATGAAAATAATGGATACAAAGAATCAAAATTCACCAATGTGGTGGTTAACATAACCTCTCCAACAATGGTGATAATCAAACTACCCTAGAGATGTTTCACTCAAACTCTCTCTAGAGATCTCTCAAATGCAAAGCACAAAGCTTTGCTCACAAAAATCTCTCAAATGATTTTTCTCTCAAATTTTCTGATCTAACCTACCCTCCACCCACAACTAATGAATATATAGAGGAGGTGGAATCTAGGGTTAGAATTTTTAGGAAATCTCTCAGTAGGCTTGGGCTTAGCATTGAAAGAGGAAGTCCAACAATACGTTCTATCCTGGGAGACAATTGTCCACGAATCTTCGGCACTATAGAGAGTGCAAAGTTGTCTTGAGGACACAATATCTAACACTGGGTTCGGATTTTTCCTTGTTACATTCATATATTTTTGTGCGATATATATGTTTTATCTTTGTATTATTGCAAGTTTTAATTTCTCGTGTGTATTTTATGGAACTGTGAATATTATTGAAGTGATTTCTCTAACATAGATTATCTCATCTCAAAAAATTTAACATCATTTTTCTAACAATAAACACCGGAATAACCAATACAAAAATAAATTATCACACGAGAAAAATCAGACACCAAGAATTCATCCTGAATACCTTACCAACAAAATCACACTGGAATGGGATGAATGTTTATTAGAATAATGTAATAATTCAAAGAAAAGTTGATTCAGCACATATACTAAAGTACATTATAATTAATTAATAAAAATAGGAAAAAGTATTTCTATAAATATATCTCCTGGGTTTGGAGAAGAAAATATAGGGTATTTTAAAAAATTTGCTTCTCTATTATAACATGAATTTCAAGACATTTTTTTTTTTGTTCAGATCCCAAAAATACGTTGTTTTGGATTACACATTTTTACAACTAATACAATGTTTGGGAACACCAACAGCCAAAAGTAAATGTATGAAAGAAATTGTAGGCACATACCCGTCACTAATATGGTGCCCTTTTAAGTTAGCTACTTCAGTCAAAGCAGATCTCCATGCCTGCACTTTCTCTGAGTCTTTGCCAAACCTATCCTCGTGTGCGTTCATGGCTTCCCTGTAATGATTTTTCTGATGCCTTACATCTGTAGGATCTACATGGTAAAAAATTGGGAAAACAAGTTGTTTGTTGTTCCTCTTGATACAGTTTACGATCTCGACAAGTTCATCAAGGCACCATCTCGAAGATGCATAATTTTCAGATAACACAATGATTAGAATCCTAGATTCTTCAATGGCTTTGCGAAGGGAAGGTGAAATACCTTCCCCTATCCTCAGATTCTCATCATCAACAAAAGTGCTAATTCCCTTAAGGCGCAACTCTCTACGAAGAGGTGCTATAAATATGTGCCTTGTATCTTCACCTCTAAAACTGAGGAAAACATCATAGGTAAAACTACATGGCTCTTCCCCATATTTTGCCATAGGAAAACAACAACCTTAAGCTTTGAGGATGCTGGAACAGGAACAGTATAAATGTTTGTCGAAGAAAAGAGGAGGATGCTATAATTGTTTTAGTACGAGGAGAGAAGGAGGATAATATTTATTATAACTTAGTGTGTTCTGCTTAAACACAATGTCTTAGTGTGAAACAAGTATAGTCCACTATCAATGAACCTTCATGGAAGGTTCTTTATGATTATTATACAGCCCATCAAAATTTTCACGTATCCTTAGCCAGAAATTGTTGGCTGGCGAAATAATTTTCTGCTTTTCTCTTATTTTTTTATTGCTTTGATTACAGCCAAAAGCTAAAATAGACAAATTAGAAAATAAACATCATGTGCTCAAAACCTTAAAATTCGTGTGAATCGGATTTGGCATCTGGTACATACATAATTAAGTATTTAAGTATGTACTACTATTAGAAAATGACACGGCGTGCGTCATAAACAAGTAGTTAAAAATTGAATTTAATTTGTTCATTTTCAACCATTCAAAATGCCATCATGAGCAAACATATGTATACACACACTATTACGAGAGTCCAGTAAGCCCAGCGAAGTTCAGGCCCAAGCATCTCAAGCCCAAGTTGTCCAAGTTGATGATAGCACAGCTCAAACTCCCAATCATCATGAAGCCCCTGGAATATACACACGTGGCACCAATCACAACAGACATAACAAACTCAGCTGGCATGCTGTTAGTTCAGTTAGTTAATTCGTTTTAACTGAGTCTGTTACCTTAGCTTAACCGTTCAGTTTTGTGTACAGGTTCTTTTCCTTTTCTTGATTCACCATATGTATTAAGCTCCCATAATTTAGGAAGCTATGCTGTAATCACTGGTTATTCAATGCTATTCAGTTTCTTGATTTCTGTTACGCACTTCAACGGATTCAAGATAATTACGGACAGAACATATCAGAATTTTCTTAAGGATATCAATTCATAAGGTAAAACATAATATCAGTCATTACTAACAAAATAGTATACTTGTTAAAATATGCATCATATTCAAATAGTCAAAAAATTAATTTGTTCATTTTCAACCATTGAAAATGACACGACGTTTCCTCATTCATTCAAAGGCCCAAGACCAATAAAGCATCAGAGCACGTCAGCATCCTCACAAAAAATTTGTTTCTTTAAATAAATCATGGGAGATGATTTTCTCACATCACTGCTCAGATATCATCTCCTTTTGTCATACTAAATTTTTTTTTTTTCAAATTTTTCTTTATTTCTTTATTTTTAATGATGATGGGTCTTACTATGTAATTATTTCTATGACAGAAGATATATATATATATATATATAAACTGCAATATAAGAGAATGTTTGTCCATAAATTATTTAAATTTATTGATTTTTATTTATTTAAACTTTTACATTGATTAATTTTTGTTTAGTATTTATCTTCTATCAAATTATTAAATCAAACTAATTATTTATTAACACTGATACTTACTCAACTTTCTATATTATTAACTAACTTTAAACATAAAAACTACCACCCCCTTGTGCTAAAAAAAAAAACTACCCTCTAATTACTATTCGCAACTTTTTTGTTTTAATTTAATTTTTCTTAAGTCTAAAACAATGAAATTAATACAATACTAATTAACCCAATATAAAAGATGACGTGTAGGACTACTCAATTAGTTAAGCTGATCACGCAGTAATTCAAGCCTTTGATTGGAGAACTGTTTATCTCGGAAAATAACGAGCTCTTTGGAAAAACTATCAAGATATATATTTCGGTTCCAATTTTTCTATGTCGCAGAAAAAGAATTATTTCCAGCAATTTATTATAATTATGTATATCTTTATAATGATAAAAAAAAAAAAAAAATTCTCCGTTACATTAGCCGACAATATCTAAAAAGAGAGAGAAAAAAAAAAAACAACTTTAATATTATAATTATGTACTATTTATATTTTTATTTTTTTTGCAGCAAGGATTTCCGATATTCTTATTGATTCAGGTAAAAAGAGTGTAACAACATGTAAACAAATAGCATGATGAACAAAAAGGAATACCCAAATTCAACATAACTGGATATGAAAGGAGAGAAGGAAGAAATTCAACACATTCCATTAGGTTGAAAAGAACCCACTCTCATCCTTAATCCCTCAATCCCCTTGGGATTTGGTTAAAATGCATTTATTTATTCTTTAATAACATGATCAAAGATGATAGATTACTTAAATAGTTTCCATGATTAGCCACTAGATTGGAGCTCTATAGAGCTGGAGAATCCTCTTCCATGATGGTCTATTGCTTATATCATCCCACCATGCACTCACATTCTTCCTCTCCTTAATCAAGTACTCTTTCTTCATATTGTTCACAATATAATCCATAAAAGGAAGGTGGCTAATATCAGCAAGACTGAAGAAATCCCCAGCCAAATACTTGTTTTTTGAAAGCCTCTCCTCATAAATGTTCAAAACCTTCCTCAGATTTGCTTCACTCTCTTCAATCACCTTGGGATCAGGAGTCATACCAAGCATTGAAGCAAACAAAACATGAATGGCCAAGTTGTAGGCTGGTGGGTGAAAGTTATGTGCTTCAACTTCTAACCATTGTTCCACAAGACCCCTCTCTTCTATTGTCTTTCCCAGCAACTCAACCCCTTGAGACCTGTACTTTTCTGCATAATACCTCATTATTGCCCGAGATTCTGCACAAAAATATATGAAACCACTAACATTAGCATGTTTGGAGAAATATTAACTATAAAACTAACAAAACATGAGTAGAAAAAGCAGAACAAGGAGTAGAATGTGTAAACCATATAAGGTATAATCTCCATCTTGAATGACAGGAACAACTCCAAAGGGCTGCGGATCATGAGCAAAGAACATGAATCAGAAGATAAAGAATGAAGTAGCCTTGAATACTCAAAGCATATTCAACAAAAAAGTGAAATGAAAATAGAAAGATCTGAAAAACCTGTAATTTGAGGTACTCAGGATCCCTCTGTTCCCCCTTACTGACATCAACAGGGACAACCTCAAATTCGATTTCCTTCTCAATCAGACAAACCAGCGCTCGTTTAGAGGCAGCACAGTGGGGACCGTACAACTTCACCACCATGGTTTCTCTTCAAAAATCCTTCAACAGCAGAGAAGTTGAAGAATCAGCTATCGTTCAGTCTCGGTTTGTTCACTTCTTATATTGCTTGTTGTTGGTTTGGTAGGTAGATGATATATATTTTTTTATTGAAAAAGAAAAAAAAAAATTGAGAATATGATGGAAAATGTTTTTTTCGGGGTAAAATATGAAAAGATGTTTGCTAGGTATAAATTTTTTTAGAAATATTGGATCAATTATGCTGATATTATAAAAAAATAAAAATACTATATATCAGATGATAACTGAAATGATAGAAAAAAATGTTTTTCGAAAATATTTTCAATTTTTTTATAATAAATGTTGAAAAAAAACTTGTCCCATCCCATTTTTTCAGGATTTTTAAAAATATCTCTATTACTCTGTACCAAACAACCCCCTCATGTGAAATAGTCAATCAAAAGTCTTGAACAAACAAACAAAACAGAGGTTGATGCGTGGTGTGTTATTTGCTTACATAATATTTAATTAATTAATGTTGTACGTTAACAACATACACAGTTAATAGATAAATAATCAATTTAACTTGTTAGCAACGTTAATTACAAATTTATACATCATTAATCGTGTAAAAATGATGCAAGAAAATTAGTGCGTGAGAATCATCATGGGAAGAAACTCCCGGGCAGCTTCCTGTGAAGACTTATGGGTCTTTCTTTTCTGATATTTTTTTTTGGGGGGTGCTAACCTCACATGTGGTATTAAATAAAATGTGTTTTATTAATGTCATGTTAAAGAAGATAAATTTATGAACTCCACCACAGAAAAAAAAAAAAAAATGTGGTACAATTACGAAATGGTGTGTACAAAAAAAGTTATTACATGTAGTTTTTCCCAAATAAAAATGGTGGTAATTGATGTTACCGGAGCTTTTGGTATCCTATATTTTTTGCAATTCTCGGAAAAGCTTGGTTTGACACAAATGAATCCCGCTTTTGGTAAGCAAGAAAGGAAATAATTCCAGAGTACAAACTTATCCCGTCAAAACATATTGTGTGTAATATACAGTACCTAACGCAAAGATGAAACTTCATAGATATGATGGAACCATTTCGGTCCCAGAAAATAAGAATTTGAGGCGCGAAAATATTGACTAAATTAACCTTCATTTTGATACGATCTGTGTCAAATCCTACTAAAGCTTTGCGTACACTTCTTCGCATGTTGGGAGAAGATCTTGACCACCGTGGAAGCTTGGAGACTTAGCGGACTACACATCAGAAGGTAAAGTGGTGGAATGTTGACATATTGCCGGCATGCATGTAGCATCTGCTTTGGATAGAAGTGTTTATTGAGATATATAGTCCCACATTGGTTGTATGTGCATAAAGTTTATAAGGCCTTGGGCACTCCCTCCCTTTGAGCTAGCTTTTGGGTGGTGTATCCCAAGGTTCTTTACATGGTATCAGAGCCTCGCCGCCCCCCACTTTCTCTTGTGGAGTTTCTTAGCACAGGTAGGCTGGTCCTGTTGCATTGTCCACACTTCAAGCCAAAGGACTTTCGTGTGAGGGGGCGTGTTGAGATATATAGTCTCACATTGGTTTTGTATGTGCAACTAATGTAGAGTTTATAAGGCCTTGGGCACTCCCTCCCTTTGAGCTAGCTTTTGGGGTGGTGTATCCCAAGGTTCTTTACAGTGTTATAATTTTTATTTTTATTTTTGGTATAGCAAATAATGAGGCTGAGTATCTGGTATAGCAAAAAACTGGTATTGCTCTGCAAAAAAAAATTGGCACACGAAGAAGACAACCAAGAACGATATTGCTCTGCGAAGAATAGCATACGAAGAAGACAACTAAAAAAAATTGGCACACGAAGAAGACAACCAATAACAATATTGCTCTGCGAAGAATAGCATACGAAGAAGACAACCAATTTTATTGGCACACGAAGAAGACACCTGGTATTGTTCTGCAAAAAGAAATAGATTTCTGGGAAAACAAAGAACATAGCAAAAAATTGGTAAAGGTAGGGTTATTTTGGTAAAATAACCTGGGACAGTGACTATTTTGGCACGTTTAGACAAAAAAATTATCAGACTGTCACGTCAATAGTAAATTTTGTCAAAATGTCACGCGACATAATTCGCTACACAGTGTAGCGAATTATGCATGCAAGTAATTCGCTACACAGTGTAGCGAATTATACCACGTCAGACCCAAAAATGTCACATGTCAAATTTTGAGAAATTCGCTACCCTATGTAGCGAATTTTTCAAAATTTGACATGTGTAATTTTTGGTTATGTGCATTCTGACGTAGCATATTTCGCTACACAGTGTAGCGAATTACTTGCATGCATAATTCGCTACCCTGCATAGCGAATCATTTTTGCAAAATTTACTGTTGGCGTGGCAGTCTGGTAATTTTTTTATCCAAGCGTGACACTTTGGTCACTATCCCAAATAACCTCATATTCTCATTAATATTTCATAATCAACCAAACACAAAATCATTATAATTAATTTAATTTTTTCGAGAAAATATGAGTATACTAAATAACTTTTTAATAACATTTTAGTGAAATATATTTTTTACTATATTTCACTAATAATTATTTTTCGGATTAAAAAATATTCTCCCGTAACAAATGTCCCTGACGACTAATTGACGGGAAACTGATAGGAAATGCACTCGAAAGACGTAATTGTACTTTTCAAACCTTTGAAAATTTGAACGAGTCGACGACGAAATAAGTAATGAAGATCAATTAAAGGGTAATATTTCTATCATATAACATGATATAAAAAAACATTCCTACTCACACATCGAATATTGTGTCAATATTTTTTTTGTTTTTTTTTTTTTCATGATGGGTCCAACCAAAGTTTGTTTGGGTAAGAAATTGATTTTATATTATGTTACATAAAATATGTATTTCCCTCAATTAAATTTGATACTGACAATATTATCAGCGTTTGACTATTGCTACGGGTTATTTTAGGATATTAATTGATTTGGAACTTAGTCACCCAACATTATCTCTTAGGATATTAATTGATGCAAGAAATTATTTGTTTTTAAAAGTAAAGATAATATCAAAATATGTTGGTGAAACTTTATGAAAGGATAACAATGGATGATAATCTTTTATATTTATAAAAAGAGAATAAAGAAAATACTGACTTGGGATTGGATGATAAACATCACCCACAGAAAAGAAAACGGAGTTGCAAATTGAATGACTTCTTTTACTTACATGTTTGAGTGATCTTTACAAGAGTTTATCTCATCTCTTTTAAGCTGTTGTGAAAGGCTAAGTAAGGACTCTATTAGAGTTGTTTGACCAAGACTTTGCAAGCAGCTTCTTTTTTACTGTCTTTCTTTTGTTGTAGTTTGTTTCCAAAAAAAAAAAAAAAGTGTTAAGTTAGTTTCATGTAGGAGAAGATAGAAAGTTTCTCTCACTAGCCCTTCCATATCAGTTGCCTTTTTTTTTTTTTTGAAAAAAAAATCAGTAGAGCCCGTATATATTCAGTCTATCACATAATAAGACACCCTATTTACAACGCAAGAGAATAATAATTCTCTTACTAAAATGAGCGAAACAATAAAAAGGACTACCCAAAGAACTGCCAATTTTTTTTTGGGTAAAATATCTTTTTCTGTCCTCAGCAAATTTCACGATACTCATTTTAGTCCACAGTAAATAAAAAGGCTCATCGTGGTCTCTAAGAAATTAAAAATGGACTCATTTAGTTGAAATCGTGGTCCCTCACAAATTCAAAAAAAAAAACCATATTAGTCCCTAACAGGACTAAAATAGGTCCATTTTGAATTTCATAGGGATCACGATGGACCTTTTTATTTGCTAGGGACTAAAGCGGACATCGCAAAATTCGCTGAGGATCAAAAAAGATAATTACTCTTTTTTCTCTGTCTTCCAGGGACTTTTTTGGATGGGCCATTCTTAGCCAAAAGCTGCTATATTTTTTTAAAAAAAAAAACTACTATTATTACAAAGTCCATTTGAATATCTATTTTAAAAATAAAATAGAAAAATCAAAAATCTGTTTTTCATAAAAATTAAAAAAATTAGTTTTTAAACAAAAACAGAATTCAAAACCCAATTTTTTTTTAAAATTTAAATAACTATAACTTTTATAAAAAGCACATGCATAAAAAATACTTTTTTTCAATGTTGTGAAAATTGGACCGAACCGACTGGGTTGACCCAAAACCCAATGAATCGGTTATCTGATCGATCCGACTATTACATTGGATTGGCCAAGTATCAGACCCGGTACAACCCGATGAAACACTGCCAGTTTTGGTGAAAATCGATGATCCGGCCCAAGTTTAAAAAAAAAAATCATAATTGACATATTTGAGTGATCTGTTACTTATTGACTTACATAAGTTATGTAATCTATAATTCTAATATTATTTCAGTTATGCACTATGTATTGAATTTTAATTTGATTCACAGTTAGAGATATCATTTACTGAACCTAAAACACCAATATCACAAGCATTATATATTTGTTTGATCCTTTATTCGGCAATTATAAATAATTTATTATTTTTTATATTAAAATATTTAAAATTTATATTATTTTTTAGCTATTCCAGTATGTTTATAATTTTTTAATATAAATTATAGGTTTATATATAATTATCAGGTCATGCAATTTAATCAATAACTCACTAATTGACCCAAAGACTTGATACCTGGACCGAGCTGATCTTAATAACATTATTTTTTTCATAAAATCCAAACGAACCTTACTTTCTTTAAAAACGGCGGAAAAATAATAAAATATTCAATGCAACTTGTTTGTATCCAGTATCCACAACTACAAAATCTACGGTTGTTCGCATTATGATCAGTGTCTACTCATGAGATGAACTGATGAAAGGAGCCTAACTGGACAGAATTAAGCTTCCTACAGTGCATATTCAAATCGTTCAGTTCTATCACTTTTCCAATAAATGAAAGTTCTCCATAGTGCTTACGCAGGGTGAGAACTAGATTACCACAGAAAGTCTGATAGTTCAACGTTACCACAATATTTGTATAATCAACTGCTGATACGAACCAATCAGCATATTGAATGATGTTTATTCACATTTAGTTTACTTAAATTTCAATCATTTCCCATATAAGACAGTACAATGGGATGGGATGGGCAAATGCAGATATCAAAATGACACCACGGACTGAGGATGACTTGAAGGTTGTAGCTGAGATGATGCAGTATCACTTTCTTCAATGTCATCAAATTCCACAGGTTTTCCGCAAACAAGCTTCCTGTTAATCAAATAACAAATTAGAAAGACGTTAATATACCATTCAGATATTAACAATCAACCACTTAAACTTCTTACTTTTCAAAAAGCAACAAAGCAACTTCAAATATTCTGCGCTCAATGTCAATAGTGATCGAAGGAATATGTTTTTATCAATTAGTTTTTTTTTTCTTCAATTTATCAAGGAATATGTTTCAATTTAAAAAGTACACACTAACTGGAGTGGTCACGTTTTCAAGGTTCAGATGACTTCAGTAGTTTCCAGATTTTTTCTTCTTTTTGTCCTTTTTAACAGGTGAATAGAGTACATGCAATTGTGAACTAGGGATACCTTTGAGGGATAAAATTCTCCTCAGACAATGCCTTATCCAACCGCTCTTCAAATGGTGTTGCATGCCACTTTACTTTCTGATCCTAGAAAAAATCACCACTAATTAGACACAGTATCCAGATGTAAAACTCTTATATAGCAAATAAAGATTACAAGTCATACTTCCTTGTACTTAGTGGTTGAGTTTGGTATGCCATTGCCATCCCACACCTTAGGAGGAGAAATATGAGAATCCTCAACTCCATTCCAGTGAGCAGCAACCTCCCCAATAATTGGCCTGTCAGAAGGAGTTTTGTGAAAATGTTGGATCTGATAAGCAGTCTCCATTCTCTTGTTTCTCTCCTCCAGAGTGATCGATGCAGGCTTCAACCAAGAAGATAAACTTGCTTCAACCTCGCATCCATTTTCATTTGAAATGTTCTTCAACCCTTTTTCTGGGGTAGGACTTGCATTTTGAGCTTGCTCCACAGAATCACTCAGCTCACTTGTATCTTGTTCAGGATTAAAAACTTTCTCCTCAAGTATCTTGCAAAGGACGACATTCTCACCTGGGTTGTAAATTGGATACACAAACTGGGACCGAACTCGAGGTCTACCATTTGGTAACTCTTCTGATGATACAGGGTACACTGTTCCTGGTGTTTGCATCTCATCAAATAACTTCAATGGAGTAGGATAGGGTGATGGTTTGTATGCACTCTGCTCAGACGAGCTTCCGCAGGATGATGAGCCAGTATCACATTCAAAACGAACAGATTTGTTCTTCCTCTGAGTGGTTGTGACTGGCCTAGGTGAAACAGAAGCTGCATTGTTGTCAGTACTATCTGCAGCATGAAGGGTCCCAGTCCGACTTCCTTCAATATCAAGAGAATCATGTGGAGTATCTTCTGCATTGGAGATACAGCTGCAAAAGAAATGAAATTAACATCTGATCAAGTTTTAGTTCTATTACTTCTATGTATTTTCAAAAATAGAACAGTTCTAACCAAAATGGAAGAGAAAAGGGCGGACCATTTGAACGACAACTTTTTAAAGGAACAAATTATCTGATTCTTTTTTAGAGAAAAGATGCAGTTTGTTCTTTAAAGTTGACTATGAAGATTGAGAGTAAAAATGAAAGATTCACCTCTAAAAAAATGACCAAAATGCCACATATTCAAATTCATTATTATTCAATGTCAGCGCTAAAAAAATTCAATTCAAAGTCAAGAATAACCTGGTTGGTGTGTGCTCAAAAGAATCCGTGCTATTTTCCCATTCTTGGCAAAGTTTTATGGGAGTTGGTGGGTGAAATTGTTGAACATCCAGCTGAAGTTTCTCAACAGATGTGTTGGGAAGCCAAGAATGGAACTTTGGAGGGTCTGTATCTTTACCACGAGAGGGTGACACTTTCAGTTTCTCGGATGCTTTACGAATTTCAGCAGGGGTTCCTGCTAAGGTACCACAAGCTTTAAGAAACTTGGCCTGCAGAAAGATGTTATATAATGAGATAAAAAAAAATCAACTGACAATACATAAATAAACAAAACAATTTACAAAAAAAAATGAGAAGGAAAAATAACCAAAAAAAAATAAAAAGAATTAGGAGTGACTTCAAAAGTATTTGAAACATGAAATACACTATGATGCACAGATACGGCTTGAGAAATTGGATACGAAACAAGTATAACATGAGGATAGAATTTCCTAAAGTGTAACTGGACACATTAGAATTTAGAAATACGAATATTGAAACAGCTAAACATGTAAGAAAAATCAATATTTAAAAAATAATCATTACAGCTTCCAGTAATAGTGCAATACTAATATCACTAAGAACATACCTCATCCTTAAGCCCCTGGTCACCTCCCTGAGACCCCACACCATCATTCCCAGCAGATTCTTCTCTCTCTTTTAATAAGTCAAAACAAAATCAGTATAAACACTAAGAAAGATATTAAAAAAAAAAAATAACACGAGTATCGGAGAAAAACCTTCAGATAATAAAGAGAACAACCGATTTCGAGATATCAGACCATCCTGTTTAGCACAGAGCGGAATTATTAATATTATTATAGACAAAAAAAAATTATATTATGCACTATGCACATATAATCTTGCATTTAACGATCTAGTTTTTACTGAAATTAGTTTATTTAACAAATCCGGAATTTAACGAACGAAGAAAAGAAAATGTGGAAAGAGAAATTCTTGGTAAATCTTGAAAAGAGAAAAAGGGAGAAATGTTACAGTGGAACGAGAGGAGGTGGAAATCAGGTGATGTTTGGGGAGGGGACGATTGTCTCTGATCCTGAAGCAAGCGAAGAAACAGCCCATGGCTCTGGTGAAGGATCGGAAGAAGAACCGTAGCATAAACCCTAGACCACGCTTCACCCACCACAGCATATCATGGAATTCAGAACCCTAATCCAATTTTCACTTCGAATTCAATAGAAAATCGAGACAGAATGAATAAAAGAGAGAAAGAGCGTGAACTGTGTGAAGTGAGGTACTACTGCGGAGTCGATTTTGAATTTTGAACTAACTCGGAGCGAGGGAAATTAAATTAATAATACAATAAAAATTGTTAACACAACCTTATAACGTCCCATTTGGGTATAATAATCTTTTAGTAAGTAACAGTAAAAAGTTAAATATGGCAAAGAAACGTACGTTATCATTTACCCGTGGAAATATTTAAATATTTTCTAAGTTAAATATAACTATAAAAATTTACAAAAAAAAAAAAAATAACTATAAAATGCAATAAGCAATTGGGCCGACTCAGAAGGTTTTGTATAAATCTAATTATTAAAAGGAGAAGGCCCAAACGATGTCCCTAACTTTTGCATCCAGCATGATATTAGGAATAAGATCTCCATACAGATTAGAAGCACTGCTTAGATTGTTGATGTTAATCTTCTTCCCGAGTACAACTAGAATAAGATGCTTATCTTCACCGTCCATATCTTAAATGACAATATTTGCGTGATTATGTAACCATCAATAGTATGTTTTTTTGTTATTATGGTAGCATTTAAGTTTGAATTCATGATCGTGAACTTATGCGAAGTATTTGAAATTTTGAACCTTGTCAGTTGTCAGTGGTGTAATTCTTGTCAACTTTATGTTTAATTTGCCAAATAAAAATTATATTAAACACTACAAGGATGATTCATGTTTTCATAACTAGCAACTCCAGGATGGAATTTCAAATATTTAATGTCAAATATTTTTTTTTTTAATAGATACTGTCAAATATTTTTGACTAAGGGGTTTTCTCCCACCATCTCTCTACTTATATGATGGTTATATTGTCTATTTATTTAATCTTCTTATCTTTATTACCTTCTTATTAACATTAAATTAGATTTAAATCAACTTTGAAATAGAAAGAAGCAAAGGATGTAATTAGTTGTGAAAAATAAGATAGATAGAAGCAAAATAAAAAAAATTATTGTATTTAAGACCGTTGATTTTCCATGTTTAACAATAATTATAAATATTATTTTATTTCCATAGTCCGTCCTTTGTGATTAAATTATTCTAGGTTTAACCAATTCATTATAAATCTATATTTTTAAAATTATTTCAATAGTTATTTATATTTTAAAATTTTGCAATTAATTTTTTGTAGTTTTAAATTTTTTAAAATGAATCCCTATGTTAAAACACCATTAATGTCTAATGATATGATAGATATATGGACTTGATTAAAATAATATTAAAATTATAAGAATCTTTGTTTGTTTGTGTTTCCCTATATGATGATAATTTTAAATTTCTATATTAGATGATATTTAACGACTAGTGAGGCATCTGTCCATGAAGGACTAGTGAGACAGCCAATTATTGAGGTTGATAGATCAGCTATACCACCCAGGTTTGACTGGGATACTAGAGAGCGTATGCTGAATGCTTTCAGGAAGCATTCCCCACCTCACTACAAAGGTGGAAGAGATCCCATTGCAGCATTGGAGTGGCTCCAAGAGATGGAGCGTATTTTTCAGGTTATGGAATGCGATGCCAACATGAAGCTCCTATATGCGGTGTACATGTTACAGGGGGATGCTGCTGACTGGTGGAGTAATGTTAGAAACCCACTTGAGTGCCAAGATTATGCTATTACTTGGCCATTATTTGAGAGGTATTTTCTGCAAAAGTACTTCCCTGAAGAAGCCAGGGAAAGGAAGAAGAGTGAGTTTGAAGACCTCCGGCAGGGAGGCATGACTGTGGACGAATATCTCAGCAAGTTCAACCGCTTGGCAAAATATTCTTGTTATGGTAGAACTCCCCTCACTCCAGAAGACAAGGCCTTTCGATTCAGGAAGGGTCTGAATGATATGATAGCAGACAAACTGGCGGGTCATTGCACCAGAAATTTTGTGGAGTTGATCAAGCAGTGCCAGAATATTCAGGAGCACTATCGTACCAGGGGAAATGAAGCAGCAGGAAAGAGCTTCAGTGGGAGGACTACGCCCTGGAAGGGTAAGGGCAAGGGTTTGCAAGCACAGCAGAACACCAAGTTTAAGAAGACTCCCTTTGTGAAGAATGGAAGCGGAATGTTTAGTGCAGGGAAGATTCCCACTTGTGCCAAGTGTGGGAAGATGCATACAAGTGTTTGTCGACTGGGGCAGAATGTTTGCTTCAGTTGTGGTCAGGCAGGTCATTATTCCAAAGAGTGCCCCAAGAAGACGGGGCAAGTTGCAGCCATTCAGGCGATCCCTATTCAGTCCGTGCCTACTCAGAGAGCCATAGAGGAGCCTATGGCGCCCACTAGTGCCAAGGTATATGCAGTGACACAGCAGGAGGCAGAGAGGTCTCCAAACCTTATCAGAGGTACTATTCTTATCAGAGGATATGCTTTTGATGCCATGTTTGATTCTGGAGCTACCCACTCCTTCATATCGGAATTTGTTGCTAATGGGGTACATTTACCCATTTGTGAGTTCACGCCTCCCATGGTAGTGAAGACTGCCATCGGAGACATTGTTTCTACTTCCTTGAAGTGCAAAGAAGTCAGATTCATATATGAGCAAGAAGAGTATATGGTGGATTTGATAGTGCTTGAGGGCATGAATCTACACATTATCTTAGGTATGGATTGGCTGGTCCGATATGGTGTGATGCTAGATTGTTGTAGCAGAAGGGTTTTCTTTACTGCAAAAGGAGAAAAACCGGACAGTTTGTACTTGACGGCACAAAAATTAAATAAGGCTCTAAATGAGGGAGATGCAGGATACATTATCCTAGGAGGACTCGTAGGAGACTCCAAAGAACCTACTGTTAATATTCCGGTTGTATGCGAGTTTGAAGATGTATTTCCGGAAGAAATTCCTCATTTTCCACCTGAGAGGGAGATTGAATTCTCAATTGACTTAGTACCTGGTGTGGGGCCTATCTCATTGGCTCCATACCGGATGTCACCAGTGGAGCTAGCTGAGCTGAAGAAGCAGTTAGAAGAATTATCCCGCAAGAACTTTATCAGACCGAGTGTATCTCCTTGGGGTGCACCAGTCATCTTCGTGAAAAAGAAGGATGGGACTATGAGGTTGTGCACTGATTATCGACAGTTAAACAAGGTAACAGTAAAGAACAAGTATCCTCTACCACGCATTGATGATCTGTTGGATCAGCTCAGGGGTGCTTCAGTGTTCTCAAAGATTGATCTTCGTTCCGGATATCACCAGATTCGGGTAAAAGCAGAGGATATTCCGAAGACGGCTTTCCGATCTAGATATGGGCACTATGAGTATCTAGTGATCCCATTTGGGCTTACTAATGCCCCGGCCGTGTTCATGAGTTATATGAACCGAATTTTCAAACCACATTTAGATCAGTTTGTTGTGTTATTCATTGATGATATTCTGATCTACTCCAAAAGTAAGGAAGAACATGCAGAACATTTGAAGATAGTTCTACAGATTTTAAGGGAGCATCAGTTATATGCCAAACCATCCAAGTGTGAGTTTTGGTTACATGAGATCCAGTTTCTTGGACACGTCATATCATCTACAGGAGTGGCTGTTGATCCGAGTAAAATTGAAGCTGTGCTGGATTGGGAGAGACCCAAGAGTGTTACTGAGATCCGAAGTTTTCTGGGTTTAGCAGGATACTACAGGCGGTTTATTAATGGATTCTCCAGAATTGCCTTGCCATTGACTAGGTTGACCCGAAAAGGGGTGCCATTTGCATGGACCCTTGGGTGTGATGTGAGTTTTCAAGAATTGAAAGATAAGTTGACTACCGCACCGGTTCTGATTCTTCCTGATCCGGAGAAGAGATTTGAGATCTATTGTGATGCATCCAAGTATGGATTAGGGTGTGTGTTGATGCAGGAGCGAAAGGTAGTGGCCTATGCTTCTAAACAGTTGAGACCACATGAAGAGAATTACCCTACTCATGATCTTGAGTTAGCGGTCGTGGTTTTTGCATTGAAAATATGGAGACACTTCTTGTATGGTGCTACCTTCACAGTTTTTAGTGATCACAAAAGCTTGAAATATCTATTCGATCAAAAAGAGCTTAATATGAGACAAAGGAGATGGATGGAATTCCTGAAGGATTATGAGTTTGACCTTCAGTATCACCCTGGAAAGGCGAATGTAGTGGCTGATGCCTTGAGCAGAAAGACCACGGGTGTGGCTAGCATGATGATTGCAGAGTATGATTTGATTGAGGAGTTCAGGGATTTGCGAATTTCTGTGACACCATTTGAGACTTCATATTTCATGACTACGGTCGAAGTCCGAAATTCGTTAATGGAAAAAGTTAAAGCGGCCCAAGTGCTTGATGAAGGGATCCAAATGATGAAAGAGCAAGATTTTGTGTTCACCGATGCTTCTCATGTGAAATACTACAAAGATCGGTTAATTGTCCCGAAGGGACCAATGGTAGAAGAAGTGTTAACAGAGGGTCATATGGGTAAGTACACCATCCACCCAGGTGCAACTAAGATGTACCAAGATTTGAAACAGAATTTTTGGTGGTCTGGGATGAAGAAAGACATAGCCCAGTTTGTGAATAAGTGCCTTATTTGTCAGAAGGTAAAAACTGAGCATCAGAAGCCTTCTGGTTTGCTACAACCATTAGATATTCCGGAGTGGAAGTGGATGAGTATATCCATGGACTTTGTTGTTGGATTACCAAGAAGCCAGGCTGGATTTGATTCCATATGGGTTGTGGTTGATAGGTTGACTAAATCCGCCCATTTCATTCCAGTCAAGACGACCTTCTCCACAGAGCAGCTAGCCAAACTATATGTTAGAGAGATTGTGAAGCTTCATGGCATTCCCGAAAGCATAGTTAGCGATCGGGATCCGAAGTTTACTTCACGCTTTTGGGAAGCGTTACATGAGGCCTTTGGTACTCAATTGAGATTGAGTACTGCTTATCACCCGCAGACAGATGGTCAGACAGAGAGGACCATTCAGACACTGGAGGACATGCTGAGAGCGTGTGTGCTTGAGCAGGGTAATACTTGGGACAAGTACCTGCCACTGGTTGAATTCTCCTACAACAACAGTTATCATGCCAGTCTGGGCATGGCTCCTTATGAGGCCTTGTATGGCCGTAGGTGTAGAGCACCTACTTGTTGGACGGAGATCGGAGAAAGACAGTTATTGGGGCCAGACTTGGTCCAAGAGACTACGAAGCAGATTGAGATGATCAGAGATAGGCTGAAGAAAACCCAGAGCCGTCAGAAGAGTTACTATGATGCCAAGCACAGACCCCTTGAGTTTTCTGAAGGGGATCATGTATTCATCCGACTATCACCTACTACAGGTGTTGGGCGTGCCTTGGGAGTGAGGAAGTTGAGTCCACGGTTCATTGGGCCCTACCAGATAATAAAGAGGGTCGGATCGGTGGCGTATCAACTTGCTCTACCTCCCAACTTGGCGAATTTACATGACGTTTTCCATGTGAGTCAACTCCGCAGATATATATCTGATGATTCACACGTTGTACAGTATGATGACATAAAGGTTAAGAAGGACCTGAAGTTCGTTGTTGGACCTTCTAAGGTTCTTGCTCGAGATGAGAAACAGCTTCGAAATAGAGTTATTCCCATGATCAAGATCCAATGGGAAGGATTGACACAAGAGGATGCCATATGGGAGCGGGAGGATGATATTCTCCGGCAATATCCCGATTTTGATATCAGGTATGATCTGATTTTGAGGACAAAATCTTTTAAAAGGTGTGGTGAATATAATAACCCTAATTATATGACTTTTAAATTAGAGGGTTATAATGAGGACCTTATAGTCATAAATGGAATGAGCATAAAATTATAAGAATTTTGATACCCATACTGAGGTATTATGCACAGATGAATTTTTATCTGTTAAATTTGACTGCTGACGTAATAACAATTAATAGAATAGCTCCAAGTTAGCAAATTATAGTTAGAGAGATAATCTAATGATATAAACATCATGAATGAGGTTAGGATATGATTTGGTGAAGATTGATACCCATATAATCTACCAGATAATGCCCGCTCTACCTCATGACGGAGAGACTCCATCGAGAAAGCACTCTGAGACTGCTCTTGCACCATGTAGTATACAGTCTCCACACGATCGGTCTGTAAAAAAGTATTCCACATAAAAATCAAGAATTAAGGTTACATAAAAAATATGTTAAAAAAAATAATATGCATAATAACATACCACATGTGATGCCTCAGCAGCCCTCTTAGTCAGCCATCGTCGGGTCACTACCCTATACTATTGAATATATCTGCTATTAACAGATAAGTGGCCCTCACCTTCTAGTGCATGAAGATTTTCCACCACTAGATGATCTCTGTCATTCCACTGGGCAACATAAGCAGCAAACCGAACTGTCCAGTCCACATCGGGCTTTCCCCTCAAGGTGGTAGTAGACATGTCAGGCGGGCAGTCAATAGGGGGCGCGGGGATAGGCTGCCTAAACCCAAACTGTCTGAGCACCCTATCGGGCTGCTAGTACACCACGATGTGGTAATAAATAAGAGGACAAACTGTCAGCCATCTGCGAGATTGATCAGAACTCGGCTGGTGTGCATGAAAATTACGATACGACAACCAAACAATCTCATGCCTACGTATAACATCTAGGCGAAACCGAACTCTCTCCAAGTTGGCGGAATGATGTTGCCGCCTATCATATACATTAAACCTGCATAACTAAAAAAAATTATTAGTAACCCCTTTATGACAAACATACCACATAACTATAATCAATAAGTTATCATACCTGTGACCGTATATGGCCTCTTGGTCAACCACATCGGGAAGAGGAGGGGCGACTCGGCGTAAGCGCGTCCACGCCCAAAGCTGTAGAAGCAATACACATCCACCCATCTCTGAGCGAGCTATGTCTGTCGCTCTAGCCAACTCACGATATAGATAAGCAAGTACCGCAGAACCCCAGCTAAAAGTGCCTGTGCGCTGAAAATCATCAAGAAATAATAAAAATCGTACAGGCACATAACTTGAGGCGGTATCTACGAACAACAACCCCCCAACACACGCATGATCAGGGCGCGTGTATACATAATGCGCTGTTGCTCAGTGGCATTATGCCCAGCATAGACACCAAATTCCTCATGCAAACAACGGAGACTCAACCCCCACCACTTAAATCTCGCACTGCTGCCGGCTCAATTCCAAGATATCCACGAATCAGTTGTCGCCAATTATGCTGTCCAGCCCTACCAGAAACAACATGACCATCTGTCGGCAAGCCCAATAGATGATGAACATCCTCAAAAGTAATAGTCATCTCACCGTGGGCCATGTGAAACGTCTGTGTCTCAGGGCGCCAACACTCAACGAGAGCAGAAATAAGCGCATGGTCAATCTGGAACAATAAATACATGTGATGTATCAAAAAAAATATTATTACAAAAACTTGTGAACACAATTCAACAAAACAATATATACTCACGTCATGGTTGCGCAGCCGCGCAACGTGGAAGAAACCCGCCTGCCTCAAGTATGGATGAATCTCCTGAGGAATGTGCATAGGATCGTGTGTGGCCGCCATCCTCACATTAAGTCGTCGATCTGGCGCACCATTCCACACGTATGTGGATATGTGCTTATCTTGTAATGTCAGGAGAGACGGGTCAATAGGCCCGGGTGTAATCAACCTACGAGGAGAGTCGGGGGATCCGGGAGGTGTGGGAGCATGGTCCTCATGGGGCGGTGAACCGTGTAGTGAATCAGGTCGGGATGCCATGAACCTATAACAAAAAATGTACATTTTTATCCTATAATTTTTTATTAACGCTACTGATAAATTAAATATAGATACAAAACGTAATTACAAATTACGATAATTAACAATCCCTAAATAATATTAAACTAATTATTGTAATTAACATTAACAATGTCTCTTATCCTATAATTTGTTTATTAATAAATACTAATAATCACAACAATATTAAAAAAATACTACCCAAATTACTAATTACAATAATTTTAAATCGTAAAATTTACTTATTCTACTAATTTATATGATAAAAAGTAATTAAATTTTGATCCTATACTTTTTTTATTAACAAATGCTACTAATTCAAAAAATATTAAATTTAATTGCAAAATCTAATTACTAATTACGATAATTAACAATCCCCAAATGATATTCAACTAAATATTAGAATCCACATTAACAATGTCTTTCATCCTATAATTTCTTTATTAATAAATCCTTATAATCACAACAATATAAAAAAACATTACTATCCTAATTACTAATTACAAAAATTAACTCCCCCAAAATTTACTTATTCTACTAATTTATATAATAAAAAAATAAAAAAACTTTTATCCTATAATTTTTTATTAACAAATGCTAACTTTGAAAAAAATTAAATTTAAATACAAAATGTAATTACTAATTACGATAATTAAAAATCCCTAAATAATATTCAACTAAATATTAATATTAACATTAACAATGTCTTTGATCCTATAATTTCTTTATTAATAAATCTTAATAATCAAAACAATATAAAATTATTACTATCCTAATTACTAATTAAAAAAATTTACTATCCTAAAATTAACTAATCACAACAATAAAAAATAATTACATTTTTATCATATAATTTTTTATTAACAAATGCTACTATTGAAAAAAAATTAAATTTAAATACAAAATGTAATTACTAATTACGATAATTAAAAATCCCTAAATAATATTCAACTAAATATTAATATTAACATTAACAATGTCTTTGATCCTATAATTTCTTTATTAATAAATCCTAATAATCACAACAATATAAAATTATTACTATCCTAATTACTAATTAAAATAATTTACTATCCTACAAATAAACTAATCACAACAACAAAAAATAATTACATTTTTATCCTATAATTTTTTATTAACAAATGCTACTATTGAAAATAAATTAAATTTAAATACAAAATTTAATTACTAATTACGATAATTACAAATCCCTAAATAATATTTAACTAAATATTAATATTAACATTAACAATGTCTTTGATCCTATAATTTCTTTATTAATAAATCCTAATAATCACAACAATATTAAATTATTACTATCCTAATTACTAATTAAAAAAATTAACTAACCTAAAATTTACTTATTCTCCTAATTTATATAATAAAAAAATAATTATATATTTATCCTATACTTTTTTATTAACAAATGCTAATACTAACAACAATATCAAAATTAAATACTAAACTAATTTACTAATTCTAATATTTAACTACAACACAAAATTAACTTATAACTACTACAATACACATGCTGATAATTAAAAGAAAAAATAAATAAATAAAAACTAACCTTCAAGGGGTCCGCCGCGGAGAGAGAGACTTTTGAGAAAAGAAAAGTTGGAAAGAAGAAAAGATGAAAGTGATGGGGGTGGGGTTGGGAGTGGGATTATATAGACCCACATATCCCGCTTTACTGACAAGCGTGAATAAGGAGAAGCAGCCACGCGTCCAACATGCGTCAGGAAGTTGTACGATGTGTACCATTCTAGCTGCTCTGACCAGCGCGAATGGTGGGAACATGACACGTGGAGAACTTTTCAGTGTCTGATTGACAAGCCATTCTTGCTTGTCAGATAAGCGAGAATGGGCCTCAATGGTTGACCGCCACATGTCGTCTTGGAATCTCGCTTGGTGATGTAGCGGGATTGCAACGTGGCATTTTGGAAAATTCGAAATGAACCGTGGCATATTGATAAAATATTATTCAAAGTGTGTTATTTTGGTCAAAGTCCCTCGATTAAGCTTATATTAATTGTATTGTTTATTTATCGGGATTAGATCTATTTTCATTAGTCTAGAGTACCTAGATGTAGAATGCTCTAGAGAGAGAATTGTATGGGTGTTTGGTAAAAAAAAAAAAAAAATTCCAGAAAATTATATTTACTAATATATGGTGAGAAAATAAATTTGATAAAAAAAGTATCTATTAAGTCAAAATATTACGAAAAAATTGATTTAAGTTTTCTAATTTATGTTTGGTTAGAGATAAAATATTATTGAAAAAATAAGTGTAAATTACGAAAGTAACACTTTTAACGACAAAATACCAATGTATGGGCAAATCTGGAAATACTACCTCCAATGTGATATTCTGGAACAGTGTTTTTAATGACATTTTTCAAACAAATGACAATGTTTGGGCAAATCACTTTTCTGGTTAATTTTTTTAAAACTTATACCAACATAGACTAAATACGATAAAAATTAATATACAGCATAAAAGTATGGATACATAATCTATTTGATTAAGCATGAATAAAATTTCACACACATATATAATAAATTTTTAAAATTCTCGTAAGTCACTAATTATAACTTAAGTCACTAACCTTATCGCAAAAGCATATCATGAGTCACTCTTTATATATACAATAAGTCCCTAATAATTTTTTAAGTGATTAATAATTTCCTAAATCACTAACATTTTTCTAAGTCATTAATAATTTTATCTATCAGTAGTCTTAACATACAGTTGCTATAATTCAATAATATAGAAAATAGGTATGAAGACTCACGTGAGTGACAAAGAGAAGTTAGAGAGATGATGTAAAGTAAAAAATATGAAAAAATGAGATTTATATAGAGGGCTTGAGTCTTGCCCCATTTGGGTGAGATTAGTTTTGCCTCATTTGGGCGAAACTCCCTCCTTAATTTTGTCTAATTTGGGTAAAACATGTTTCACCTAGTGAGACGAAACTGAATGCAATACATCTGTAAATTGGTTCAAAATGATTATATATTGGTAATTATTTATTAAAATAATAATAAATTTTTTTTTTTGCCATAGAGTGTTGCAACTTAAAACTTCATTTCTCTATATTTTCATTTGATAGCCAATTTCCACGTTTTCAATAATATATAACATGTGGAACATTATAATCACGAAGTCTCTCCAAAACCCACTAATAGGTGCCATAGATTTTGACACTCATTTCTTCGATGACCTCCTTTGGGGTGCTTGGATCTGATCTTCAGGGATCTGTCGGGAGGTTCCCTCCCTATCTTGTTTATCTTTCTTTCCTGTATCCTCCAAAATAATAATAATTGTGCGGGAGGACCAAAAAAAGCCAGTGACTTCGACTTTTCGTCAGTTTTGTGGTGAGAATAAATAAATTCCATTAATAGAGATATGTTTTGTATGAAGGAGAAAAGAAGCTGAAGTTCGTGGTGTAGAGTAAAGGGGATGTCAATTTTTTTTCTGCATACGATCTCATTTGATGGCAGCTAGAAGGGAGCTGTTTCGTATTTGAATCAATACCATTAAGTTCATTTTTTATTTCACTTTTATTTCAAATAACTAATGCTACCGCGCAATGTACTATACTACTATGTTATATCGTACGGTGTTATGAATTTGTATTAATTTTTTTTTTTGGTAGATATGAATTTGTATTAAATTATTCACCCTTCGTTTGTAATAAAACACCAATAAAAGTTGACTATATTTAAATAAATTGTAATATATATTCAATATGTAAAGATTAAAAAATAATTATTTTTTCTGTAGTAGTTTTACGATGTAAAGAAGCAAGAACAAATAAAACGAACAAAATTTATACTCGTCATAGTTACATCATAAAAAGAACAAAAATTATAAACATGAAATAGAATTTACAAAATAATTACCAAACCGGTTGATCAACTCCGATCCTACAAATTATTTTACCTTAATCAATCGTTTTAAGTTTAAATCTGAATATATAATTATATTAAAAATTTAATAAAGAAAACTTTACCATCCTTATAATTTTATGAGATTCTAATTAAATTAGTTAAGTAATCGATAAATTAATAATTTTCTTTAAAAAAAAAAATAAACGAAGTAAACATAGGAATGATAACAGCATCGATGATTACATTATTATTATTATTATTTTTAAAAAGCTGGCTTTAGCTTGCTTGCACCAATAAAGTATATATAAACCTAATAAAAACCAATAACAAAATAAACACATTAGTATAGAATACACAATATTATGCAATATTTACATGTGTCGTAGGTATATTATACCGTAGATGATTGTTATATTGAATTCGTACTGTCAAGGTACAACAGTTTTTTTTTTCTGTAATCAAAAGAACATATTAACTAAAACAATAAAGTTATTTAGATTATTTAGGACATTGACATTATTAAAAACTATTTCAGCAATCAAATGAAGTCGATAAATATCTAAATGCAAGTAAAACAAACTATTGCAGCAATATAATGACCTTTTTGCAAAAGTAAAATAAAAATAAATAAAATGTATGTAACTTATTTAGATTAAATTCTCAAAGGCATATTCTTTATAAACGACATTTGAAGTAGTACTGTCTGAATGTGTCCTGTCCATGGGAAAAAAGTTGGCTTCCGAAGATAAATTCCCACACGTTTAAGAGATTACGTACCAAAGTTTAAGTTATTATGTGATAATATATTAATAATTTTATATTATATATCTATTAAAATATGCTATTAATGTCATCATTTAACAAACCTAAAGCGTCACAATGCGTCTTAGATTGTAGAATACGTGACATAAAATGTTCCTATATGGGGGGAAAATTGTGGTCCTCTCAATCTTGATGTACTAAATGATAAGACTTAAGAGTACTGTGCAGCTTTTTGTAGCAACCCTTGTTCAAGAAAAAATTGAATATGTTCCAGGTTCACCACTTATTCAATGGTTTTTTTATTATAAATAAAAAATTTTCTTCTATTTTATCCTTATCTTTTCTATTTTTTCCTTTTCAATTTCTACTTTTTTTTTTCTATTTTGAAGAGAGACTACTCAAAAAAAACCTTCTCCTTGTTCAGCTATTTTTTTTAACTGTTATGGACTATCAAGTACAACTGTGTGGTTCCTTTTTCTATATAAGGAAACATTTATTTCATTTGGACCCAATTGTTTTCACACTTTTTATCCCATCTTTGGTAAAGCAGCATGTGCTCCGCTCCATCGAAAGTTGTCACTTTAGCAGCATTCAGTCCCATTTTATTTGGAACTTTCCTATTATTACGGAAGTATGATTCTCTTAGCCGGCTTGAGGCGATAGCGATAAAATCTGTGTGCTGGTCTTGATCTTCATTGTATATCTTCTATGATGATTGATGATATTGGTAGGTATTATATCAGCCAATATAAGTTAGTTTTCCATGGTATATTTCATTTTATAATCGAATATATATAATACTTTTTACCCAATTATAATTGGATATAACTTATTGTCACGAGTGCAGTTCTAATATGATTGATAAAATTAAAAATTTTAAATCATGCATATAACAAGATACTCAAATAATAATAGAATTAAAAATGTAAATATGCGTGTCTTATTTAATCAAAAACAAAAATAAGTATACTTTGTTGGGCCAACACATAATCCGAAGAAAGGAGGATCTTCTTCTCTATTATCAGCAGCCTGCAACATAAATGATATGAAAAGTCAAAACCCGATATTAAATAAGTTAGAGAAGGGATTTAATTAGAAATCCTAGCTGATTGATGTCCATTAAGCTCACTAATCATAAAAATCATAGTCACACTAAACTTTACACTGCTATTCAATTAGGCTCAATGTGTAATCAACCCAAAAACACTACATAATCATAATAAACTTAATTAAATAATTAATCGAATTAAAATATTTCATTAAGCCTAGTTATTTTTAAATAATATTAATTAATAAAGTCGTATAATGAAAATTTCTAAGTAGTAGTTCAATACACGAGAACCTTTCGAACGGGACATCGAAAAAGAATCAAACAAGTCGCTTTCTCGCCGACCTCCATGCTTTAATGTGTTACCAACTGCCTTATAGATTGTTCATCAATAAGCCAAGACCACATAACCTCGGTAGGCCTTCACATCTTATTCCTGAAATGGGTGTTGCAAAAGGAGAATTCAGCGTGAGTGTGACAAAGGAGGAGGTGGTAGCGGCGGTGTTGCCAATGCATGACTACCACTGGCTGCCACTGTCTAACCTTGACTTACTTCTTCCCCAGGTGGACGTAGGCGTCTTCTTTTGCTACAAGAATCCTACTTCAGGGGACACTAGTGGCACCAACAACAACACCAACACCAACACCATGAGCTTTGGATCAATGGTGGGGTCTCTGAAAAATGCCTTAGCTCAGGCTCTTGGTTCCTATTACGCTTTTGCTGGTGAAGTGGTGCTCAACTCCATGGGTGAACCTGAGCTTCTTTGCAATAACCGTGGGGTAGATTTTGTTGAAGCTGTGGCTGATGTTGAGCTACGGTGCCTCAATTTGTACAACCCAGATGTCACCGTTGAAGGGAAGCTTGTTCCAACCAAGAAGCACGGCGTGCTTGCTGTTCAGGTGCTACATATATATAAATAACTGTTGAGATATATAGTCCCACATTGATTGGATGGGCAACTAATATGACCTTTATAAGGCCTTGGGCACTCCCACCCCTTGAGCTAGCTTTTGGGGTGGTGTATCCCAAGGTTCTTTACATGGTATCAGAGCCTCACCGTCCCCCCGCTTTAAAGAGTGGAATTAAAAATAAAAATAAAAGCACAAAAGGTAAACCAAAAATTGGGCCTGTGCAATTCCACGCTTCTAGCCCAAAGGGCTCTTGCGTGAGGGGGCGTGTTGAGATATATAGTCCCACATTGATTGGATGGGCAACTAATATGACCTTTATAAGGCCTTGGGCACTCCCACCCCTTGAGCTAGCTTTTGAGGTGGTGTATCTCAAGGTTCTTTACAATAACTACTAATTAATTACAAACATAATTGGCATTTTTCAAATAAAAGTGTGTCATAAGTTTTGGTATGTTATCAATTAGTTACGAGTATGGACACCCGCACCGTCATAACATACAAGGGAAATGTTATTACTTATTGGGAAATAATTATCTCATATTGCATGAGATAATTATCTTTGCAATAAAGACAAAATAATGAGATCTATTTTTTTTTTTAAAATAAAGGATCTCACTATCTTTTATGTAAAAACCGACTACTTGCAAGCATCAACGACTATCCTCATATACTAACACAAGACTTTTCAGCTTGCTTTGTCCTCACTCACCCACTTCCTAGGAGGTTACCCATCCCTGAATTGCTCCAACTCAAGCACGCTTGACTGTGGAGTTCTTCCGATCCGGGCTATCGAAAAGTAGATGCATCTTATTAGTATAAGTAGTACCAATTAATTCTTATAAGCTATCCTCAGCTGTGTTGTCCTATACCAGCACAATCTCTGGAATCCCTCTTTTTCCGGTGTTATTCAATTCATTCATGTACCCCGCCGCTGGAAGCCTACCAGGAGCCGCTCCTTGTCCGTACCCTTGCGCACCGGCGATCATTCCGCGCCCTCATCAGCGCTCGGGATGTTACATTTTACATATATTAATTATTAATTTGACTAAATACCATATTTTATGCCTACTCAATAATTTTTGACTTCCAATAAAATATTTATAAAAAAATACTCAAAAATTACTTTTTTGTACAAATAAAAACTGTATTTTTTTATTCATTAATAAAATTTATTGATCTCAAGGGAGTATTATTTTAATACTTAAAGAATTATTAATATCATTTATTTATTTTTGTTATATTAGTAATACTTACTAATTTGAAGAGACTAGAGAGTTGTAATCAGGGGTGCTAAACGAACCAGGGGCTTTTGGCTGTCTAAAATTGATTGTTGGCACTTGGCACCAGGCTTGAACTTGTATAAAAACTCGTTTAGTAAAAAGGCATCATGCTCCAATTCAAAAGCTCGGTCTTAGAGCCTCTCATGCTGGCCTAATATATTATTTTTTATTTTTATTTTAAATTTGTTATACTACTTGTAATAGCCCCTTTCTCCTCAATCCATTTCAGTCCATTTTATTGGTTAAACAGACTTTTTGAATGATTTTATTCTATATTATATTGTTTGGATATACATTGAATTTATGAATATTTGTGAATTTACTAGTGTTTGCTAATTGTGTATTCTGTTTGGATACATTTTTGTTGTCTTATTTTTAAAAAAAAGGCTAAACCAGACTTTTATTTTTTTGTAAATAAGTCAGGCCACAAGCCGACAATTATATTTATAACAGGTAACAAGCTTACTCAGACACCTATAGTTGTAATATACATAGTAAAGATATAAGATATTAGTGAATATATATTAAAGATATAATAAGACTAGAGAGTTGTGGTTATTGTTCACTTTTGCAGGCAACTAGGCTGAAGTGTGGTGGGGTAGTAGTGGGATGCACTTTTGACCATCGCATTGCCGATGCCTACTCTGCAAACATGTTCTTTGTATCATGGGCCGATATAGCCCGGCCCAACAAGCCCATAACCACAACGAGGCCTTGTTTTCGGCGCTCCCTTCTCATCCCAAGACGACCACCATCCATTCACCCTTCACTCCATCACATGTATGTCCCCATCTCCGACCTCCCCCCTCCGCCGGAACCCGAATCCAAACCCGTATCCGGATCCAACCCACTCATCAGCCGCATATACCATGTCACATGCGAACAACTCAACCGCATGCAGTCACTGGCCAGCTCAGCTAGCAGCGTCAAGCGCACAAAGCTTGAGTCTTTCTCTGCATTCTTGTGGAAGATGGTTGCTGCAGCCAGTGTTGATGAAGATGATGATGATGATGATCACAAAAGGGTCATTGTAGCCAAAATGGGTGTTGTGGTTGATGGAAGGAAGAGGCTCAGCAATGGTGATAAGAACAAGGAAGAAAGGATGAGTTCATATTTCGGCAACGTGCTTTCCATTCCCTTTAGTGGGAAACCGGCGGAGGAGCTGGTGGAAAAGCCGCTGAGTTGGGTGGCGGAGCAAGTTCATGAGTTTTTGGATACGGCGGTGACGGAGGAGCACTTCTTGGGGCTCATTGATTGGGTGGAAGCACACAGGCCAGTGCCAGGGTTGGCAAGGATATGTTGTGGGAGCACAAGAGAAGAAGGACCAGCTTTTGTGGTGTCTTCAGGTCAAAGGTTTCCGGAGTCAAAGGTTGACTTTGGATGGGGGAAGGCTGTGTTTGCATCGTACCATTTTCCTTGGGGTGGAGATGCTGGTTATGTGATGCCAATGCCTAGCCCTGATGGCAATGGTGACTGGTTGGTCTACATGCACCTTCTCAAGCCCCATTTGGACTTTATTGAGTCTCGGGCTTCCCATATCTTTAGGCCCTTCTCTTGGGATTGTCTTATCAATGAACTTTGACTTCACTTGTTTATGATCATGTTCTTGTTGGTGAAATTTGTTGGATTCAGACACCAGTACTAATTGAAAGTTATAGTTATTAATCACGGTACAATTTTTTTTTTACTTATTCTTACCAGCTTAAATATGATGATTCAATTTGACTTCAACTCCGCACTACTCTTCACCAAAACTGATCCTAATCCTCTTTAAAATTTCATAGAATCATGTAAAATTTTATGTTTTTCTCTATTTTTTTGAGCATTAATCTATCAAAAATTTGTGAATATATGTAAAATGTGAGATACATTTAATATGGCAATCTCATCAGGTATTTCGTGAAGACCAGCAAAGTTCTTTTAAGATTAAACAGATTTAGGGCCTGTTTGGTGTGATGTATAAGGTATGATAGTATAAGCTTATACTATACGTTATGACATTTTCAGTTGTTTGGTGTGACCATCGCATAGTATAAGCCTATACAGCAGGACCCCTTTATACATCAAAATAATGTATAACTTAATCCGGCCTAGGAGTGATGGATTAGGCCTGATAAGGGGTTGATGTATTAATATTGCTTACAAGTACAATTTCTAAGAACTAATATATCATTTCAATATTTATATATTAAAATAATTTTTTTTAATATATTAATTTTTAAAATATTAGAGGATATTATCTTATACAATATCATACCAAACGCTGGATAGTATTAAAATTTAATCAGGTCTTATACAATCAGGTCTTATACAATCAGGTCTTATACTATCAGGTCTTATCCTATACTATGCACCAAACATGCTCTTAGTTTATATGTCATGTAGCAACCTCTGGTAAATATATTTTAGGCTTTAATCGTGTTTAATTGATTACTTCATCCATTTTAAAATAATTTAGCTTGCTTTAAATTATTTGTCATTTTATAAAATTAAAAAAATATTAAATATTTTTTTAATTTTATTCCTATTTTTTATATTTTTACTAAGTGAAATGAGAAAACATTAATAAAGAGAACAATATAATAAGATAAAATTATATTTCTTAAAATTAAGAGTTTCTTAATTAATTTACAAAACCTTCAACCATAGTTATTTTGAAAGGAAGTAAATATTAACATTCACTTAATTTCATCATATCTTCATTGGTGTCAGCTAATTAAATGTATTTTTGGCATTGATCATTTATGAAAAACAATCATTTTTTAAATTTAATTGAAAAAAATTATTAAAAGTTTTTTAATACAACAAAAATCATTCCAATGATAGCTGCGCGTCATCATTAAATTCACTGCCTTAAGTATATACGCGCGAAGTTGGTAGAGTTTGTGTTGACCTGAAACTTGAATTGAAGGTAGCCAATGACAATCATCTGTGGGTAGAATTTGGGTGTTGTTGACATAGATGGGGGTGTTTCATATTGCACATCAATCATGACATAATTAAATTAAATGCATGTTCTCGCCAAAAAATAAAATAAAGTTAGATGAATGTTTATCAAGTGATCAAACAAGACAAAATCTTAATTAAGTACGAGAAATTAACATTTAACGTAATCAACAACTTGCACACTTTGCATAATAAACCCAACCACCAAGTACATGATCAACAATTCGATGCTGATTAGGGCGGTGCGTGGGTCAAGTTGGGTCAGGTTTTTGTCCGACTCGACCCAACTTGGTTTTTATAAGTCAGGTATTTTGATCCGACTCGCTTTAATTTAATCCAAGTCAGGTCTGATTTGGTTTGGATTTTGTTGAACTAGTTCAGAACTGGATCGGATCTGACCTGACTTGGTTTCTAAAGTGGGTCTGACTTGGTTTCTGAAGTGGGTTAAATCTGACCTGACCCGTTTTTGACTTGGTTTCCTCACAAAATTTCCTCAAAATTTTTACATTGCAAATGACGAGAATTTCGTCACAAAATTATTTTTTCGTCGGAATACTTTTTGTTGAAAAGCAACGAAATTTTTTCTCTAATGAAAATTTTTACAAAAATAAATTTTCTATTGAAATTTAGTTTCCGTCAAAAGTTTTGACGAAAATGATTTCTTTCATCAAATGTTTTAAACGAAAAAACAATTCTATCAAAAATTTTGACGAAATGTGTTTCGTTCAAAATTTCGATAGGAATGTGTTCTGACGAAAATTTCAACGGAAATTGTTTCGAGAAAAATGTTTCATTCGAAACTTTCGACGAAATTTAGATTCTTTAAAGAATTTTGACAGAATATTTTTTCCGTCAAAATTTTATATCGAAATTTTTTTTTTACAGAAATGTGTTCCGTAGAAATTTTTTATGGAAATATTTTTTATCAAAAAACTTGACGAAAATATTTAGTTGAAAATTTTCGATTGAAATGTGTTTCGCTAAAAATTTCGACGATTTTTTTTTTTGTCAAAAAATTTAACGAAAATTTTTCCGTCGAAAACTTTCGCCAAAATTTGAAATCTGTAAAGAATTTTGATGAAATTTTTTTCCGTCAAATTTTTTTGATGGAAATGTGTTTCGTCCAAATTTTCGATGGAAATTGTTTTGAAGGAAATGTTTCATTCGAAACTTTCGACGAAATTTAGATTATCTAAAGAATTTTGAGGAAGTAAATTCTCTGTCAAAATTTTTAGCGAAATATTTTTTGTCAAAAATTTTTACGAAATTATTTTACAGAAATGCGTTCCGTTGAAAATTTTGATGAAAATATTTTTTATCAAAAAACTTGACGAAAATATTTAGTTGAAAATTATCGATAGAAATGTGTTTCGCTAAAAATTTCGACGAAATTTTTTTTTGTCAAAAATTTTAATGAAAATGTTTCCGTCGAATACTTTCGCCGAAATTCGAAATCTGTAAAGAGTTTTGATGAAATTTTTTTCTGTCAAAAAATTTCGATGGAAATGTGTTTCGTCGAAATTTTTGATGAATATATTATTTTGTGAAATATTTTGACTAAATTTAGATTCCGTAAAAAAATTTGACAAAAAAAATATTCCGTGAAATTTTTTTACAGAAATGTTTTTAGTCACAAATTTTGATGAAAATATTTTTCGTCAAAAATTTTGCGAAATTTTTTTATGAAAATATTTTTCGTAAAATATTTTGACGTGATTGTTTTACGTTAAAAATTTTCTTTTAAAGTAATTGTGATTTTCTTTTTTTTTTCACGTAATAGGTATGGGTCAAGTTTTGGGTCAATGAGTCAATATCAAAACAAGTCAGGTCTAAAACTGACCCACATAAAAGTGGGTCAGTATTTGAACCAGTTCAAAAAATATAAGTATTTATAAATCAAGTCAAGGTCGGGTCAAGAACAGAGCAAGTGAACCAGTGTTTTTGCACACCTCAAATGATGATTGATATGGGGTAATATTGGAAGAGCCTAGACCGAGACATGGGTAATGGCGTAATGCACCAATACGCCATTCTTTCTGTAGTTACCTATCTCGTCAATCATTCAATTCTTAATCTTGGCTACTCGGAGGTTTGACTATTTAGGTAATGCAACTTATTAATTTGAAAGGAGTGTTTAAAGAATCTCGTTCGCGTACTTGCACAAAAAAATTGGCATAAAATTTTCTTGTGTTTATAACTTGGTAAACGCGAATTTAATTTACTCTTATCTTTAGGTTGTGGGAACATATGTACCCTGAAAGAGTGGTTGAGATTGTCGGCAATTGGAGTAATGGACGTTATATTCGTTACGTTAAACTCTTAGCTTTAGACAATGCACATATAATTGAAGGGAAAATATTATCTTATGCTATATGAGAGTATTTTTTTCTCCTACACATACATCGACTTCCGTGTTATTTTTTTTTCTTTTTTTCTTTTTCTTTAAGTGCGTGGGTCCCACTCATAACTATCTCTATGACATAAGAGAGCTTCTCTTATGTCACATGAGATTAATAAAGCCCATAATTAAAATCACTTCTATTGACCATTCCAATTGTAAGATTTTGAGACATATAATATATGGTATAGTGTAAAGAAGTTCTTTTTGATTTAGTGTACCTAAAGAATTTTTTTTCCAGAGGTAGCTAATATACTATCGAGTGGTAAACAATTAGATTTATAGTTAATTTGTTTCCTTCTCAAACTTAAATTCAACCGCGGCTATATGAGAATAGTTGTATATGTTAGAATTTTTTTTATGTGGGCAATATTAATTAATTAGTTTTCTGTTTTAAAATAAATTAGATTAATGAATATTTCAATTGTATTATTTTGATAAGTCCGTTGTGATCATGTTGAGTTGGGCTTTTGGCATCTGTTGGTATTGGGCCTAGTTGGGCATCAGTGTAGGCTTTAGTATGACCCTCATTTTCTGTGATGGGTGGACCCAATGGACACAAACTCTTTTCAGAGTATTTGACTAGGTCCCCTCACTAGCCTATTAATATTGGGATTAAGTCTCATGAGCCGTTACGCTCTCATTGCTAATGCTGTCACTTTTGGAATAGGTTATAAAGAGGAAGATTCTAGCCGTGAGATAAGGTTCTTTGCTCAGTAGATAAGATGACCTAATCAGGTACACAAATTTCTCTCAGAATAAAAATTGATATGCGGTGTTTTATCTATCATACATGTATCGATCTTTATGTTGAATTACTATATGAAATTTTTTTACATTTGGTATCAGAGCAAGACATGTGTGATCATAAGACCCATAATTTATTGCAATTTATTTTTTTTGAAATCTGGGTAATTGAATAGATTGTCTCCATTCCATGCATCTCGATTCGTATTGAAATCAATTTGAACATTATATACAATTGCAACCAATCTCGATTTCTAAATTGCGTTCAAATTGTTGCACTGTATATAATTGATATTTGTTACAAATTGACATGTCAATTTCCGTCTCGGTTGGAGCACTGCATATATATATATATATATATATATTTGATTACAAATTGTGATCTTGATTTACGAGAATTTTTTTTATTTGATTACAAATTGTGATCTTGATTTACGAGAATTTTTTTTATGCACTATGTAGTGGAAACATGACATGAAACATGAAGAAAT